CAAGTTTCTTGCACTGTTCAAACAAGGGAAGACTCTTCTTTAGCATTGACTCATGGAAGGAGTTGTGTGTGTACAAGCCAGAGTTTTCGGTGCTAAATGAATCCACACTTCCTACCATCATAAGCTTCTTCCAACTTTTCTAACTATAGCAAAGGCTACCCTAGTGATAGAAAGACACTTCATTCTCATGATTCTTCCTCTGGCCTCATCTAAGTTCTTATTTAAACCTAATCAAATAAGAATTTGATTATCATCTTCTTCTTTACTATTATTTTATACATCATAGCATCTTGAAAGCACTTCCATACATAAGTATCATACATGTCTAATCATAACCACTACTTTGTAAGTGTGTTGAAGTATTGACTCACACTTAACTCTTCTTGTCAGTGTTTTTGGTACTAGAATAAGTCTCACGAGCTGCTTCTTGAATCTCGTGTTGTCTAAAAAGCAAGAAATTTTCTCCAACACATGTCGTCATATAATTGATTAATCAAGATATGATCATATGATTCTAGATCTTCCATGAGTGATGGTTAGGAGTAATAAGCTCAAGAACTGCACCCTCTACCGTGAGAAGTTTCTTCATTACCTTTTTCAAAAATGTACATAAATATGGATTAAAACCACTGAAAAAAATTGTGGTCATTGAGTTTATTATTTGCGATAAAGTGAGAGAGTTTTGGGGTTATTTGGACAATTTTTTTATCTCTGATTCAGAACTAACCTCTAGAGTAGAGCTAGGCATCTTAATTTCGTATTTTGTCATAAGTCTTATGCACATTTAAGGCTGAAAAGAAATCTTAGTGGAATGTGTTGTTTGTTTGAACGATAAATGGCTAGAAGGCTACGAAGGTTCCGAGCCGCGAAGGGCCTGCAGCGAGACTAGTAGCTACATGAAAATGGTCGGCAGATGAGGGATGTCGTGGGATTCAGACGAAGCAGACAGGCTAACAAGACGAGCGGTCGAAGAAGTCGAGCGATCCAAACGAGCGGATGGCACATATGAGCGATCGATGAGTGAACGTGTGGTTGAGCGATCCAAACAAGCAAATGACGCAAACATGGGATCCAGAAGAACAATCCTGACAAGTAGATGATGTTGTCGAGCAACCCAGATGAGCGAACAATGTTATTGAGCAATCCAAACGAAGCTGGAGCTGGAAGATGAACACTACCCTAATCCTGTTGAAGCTGAACTCGAAGCTCTTATACCATGTAGAACGGTGGAGAAAATTATATCCTCTTTTTTAATAATCTTCAAAATACAACTCTGCCCCTTATTATATAAGAAATGTGTAGAGCAAACTTAATTATGCATATATTAACTTATCAAGAAAAATGACTAAAGAAGGAAGTATATTCAAAATGATAAAGTAAAAAAAGAGAATAAAACTAAATTAGGAAACTCAAAATTTCACAATATTTAATATAGATGATTTTGGAGATGTAGAATAGAAATGCATTGTTTTCAATTTGTTATACAAATGATTATGAGCATAGCAATATTAATAACAATATTAGAATTAGTGACACTTTGAATTTATAAAATGTAAAGTAATTATAACTCGATAACTTGATAGCATCGATTGAACTACCATCATATAGTAAATAGTGCTTCTTTCATTATTAAAAATGCAAGCTACCAATACCTTATCATTTGTCCTTATTAAATAGAGATTAATTGCTAAATTTGAGCCTTCAACTATAATCATTCATTCAATATCAAGTTCATGTTGCGGCAGCTTTATTCGTAACACTATCAATGATATCGAAAAGGGTACGTCTGCATAATTCAACAAGACAGAGAATGCAAAAAACATAGAAATTTGAAAATAAGAAAAGCAAAGAAATGGAATACTAAACAAATAAACATACAAGATACAATAGTTTCATACTCTCGTAACCGATCGAAATACTGAAATCAACACCCAAAGGATAGACAAATGAAGAAAACCTAGGATGTCACCACCAACGATGGAGGGGTACAGTTTCCACCAACCAAAGACATGGCGGAGACTCGTCCCCATCCGATAACCACCAAGAGAACCAAATCCCTTACAACTCTCAAATGAACCCCAAAAGACCTTTGAATACAACACAAGATCACCTATTAATAAACACTAAGGACCCCCTTATTCAAATGTGTCATCCAAATAGAAAACACATAAAAACAGAAAACTAAAACAATAAAAACAAAAAACTAAAATATAAAAACAGAATTTTAACACAATATAGGCAAACTATTTACTAGGATCACGATTAGAAACTATGAGGAGCTTTTTCTTCAACTCCTGATGAGCATCTGCCTCGACTAAATTCAAAATGAATTATTGATTGGTCCTTGCAATAGTTCTTTGTTTCCCGAGTGATTTCCGAGTCTAAAACTTCAAGCTGTGAATTGAATATATCCAGCAGAGGCTTTGAGATAAAGAAAACAAATTCTGAGTTGCAAATTCATGAAGCCAAATCCATAGCAAACCACCCAGTCGATACTGTTGTGGGAGCTATATCCCCCGAGGTAGAGAAAACAACAGGTTTACTGGTTCGTGAAGCAAAATATGCTAAAAGATATAAATTCAACTTTCAAGCAGGCTTCTAAAGATGGTCTGGTAACATCCGCCTTTAGTTTTTCTGATCATGAGAAAATGACGAATCATCCTGAGCTTGAAGTCATGGTACTGAGTCCTACTGATGTTAAGAATTTGTTTAAGTTGTTTGTTCTCAAAACAAGATATGTTGAAGATATACAATTAGCTTTCAAACAAGTGACCGAAGAAGTTTCAAATATGCCTAATACTTCGATTGATTCTAACCCTAGTAAGACTAATCAATATCAAGAGGATGTGGAAGAATTATTGGTTCTCAAAGGAAATTCTTATGAGGATACTGATTCTACATTTGAACAAACTCTGAAGCAAGTAAAAGAACAAGAATTTTGTTTTTTTTTTTATGGAAAGAAAGCACAATACCAAAAAAAAAAAACCGGAAAAGGTATGTATGCAGAATTCAACCAAAAGATAACAGAGAAAATGCAAAGAAAAAAATTCAGAGAAAAGAAAAACAAAGAAACAAAACACTAAATAAAGAAAGCTACAAGAGTTTCCTACTCTCGTAACCGATCGAGATACAAAAATTACCACCCGAAGGATCGACAAAGAAAGAAAACTCGGGATGTCACCATCAATGACAGAAGGTACAGTTTTCACAACCCAACGCCGTGGCCGGAGACTCGTCCACATCCGGGAGACACCTAGGGAGCCAAATCTCTCAAAACACTCAAATGAACCCCAAAGGACCTAATAAACACAAGACCACCCATTTATAAAAACTAAGGACCCCCTCATTACAAAAGTATCGTCCAAATAAAAGACACATAAAAATAGAAAACTAAAAAATAAAAACTAAACTTCAACATAATATGGACAACACTATTTACTAGATCACATAACTCAAATCATAACTAAACACTCAAACTACTGCTGAATTTTTATTATTTCGTAAGAAACTTGTTGAATTCAAATATAAAGCCCCCCAACAAACTCAATTACTGCTGCAGCAAAACATCAAAAACAACTAGAAATGAATAATTCATTAGCAGCTTCACACGAAAACGTGAAGCATAGCTTCATTGTGCATCATTAAAGCATCAAAGTGTTGTGCATCACTCTGCTTTTAATACTATTTAATTTATCAAAGTTAATTATCCATCTCACTCCCTGTCGCACCCTCATTTGTTCCAATTGTCCTCCCACGCACAACCTCCTAGCACTTCCCAAACTAATCGTTCCTTCCATTTCATCTTTCATGAACACCATTACTATCTCATTGACCAACTTAGTTACATCTCTCCAAGCCTTTCCAGCCGCACCCCCACCATAACCCAGCACTTTTAGACATAATATGTATTTGAACTTCTCAAACAACCTTTTTTACCTTTTTTAGACAGCTAAAGCTCCTCCCCCTATATTTTCTTTTTTTCCTGCTTGCAGTTGGCACTAAAGAGTTGATTTATGGCAGAATCAATAGTAAACAATCCAAATGTGTAGGGGCTTAACTGTATTACCTTGCTTAACGGACCAGCTGCCACCCACCTCTACGTAACCATTGCCAGCTTTAAGAAGCAAGCAAAAAAGATGTTAAATTACTCCTGCTTCTGCTGTACACATCCCTCCTTACCAGCCTTAACCATATAGCTTTTCATTTTCTTCCCCTCCTCTCCTCTTTCAATTCCATGTCACTAGTCTTTCATGCTTTGGAGTTTTGATGTAAAAATTTTAATTGAAAAAGGTACTTTCAACAAGTTGAGCACCATGCATCGTGTAAGTTTCACAACTTCCAAGATGACAGAACAGAAATAGATGAAGTTTATTTGTAAACTCTAAAACATGGATCCCATTTAACATATTAAATTCATATATGGTCAGAGCCCTCTTCTCCAAATGTGATTTCTTATTCCATGGTCCCTTCTATTTTGCTCCTAGTTTAATGAGCCACATTTAATAGATTCAAAGGCAATACACCTAAGCATGCCAGGCAAATAAATAAAATCTGATTTAGGAACCCGCAGATCAACAAAAGAATTATTTATTAATCTCTGGATGTTTTAGTATCAAGGGATTATTATGCTTCCTAATAACTTCTTTTTGAGAACTTAGAAATCACTATTCCATGAACAATCACTAGATTGACCTGCCAAGAACTATTATTAGTTCCAATATTAGCTTTGGCTGGATCGAGCAAACTCTAACAAATATAGAATGACAAATTTGCATTGGTTTCCAGCTATGCAATCAATCACATCGAACAAATGAAAACATACATAAGGATACTTTGCTACAATGCACCCAGCACAGCAATGGTCCAATTTTTTTGAAGGCAAACAATCGGATTACATTGTTGACATCATCAAGGGAAATAATAAAACAAAAAACTAAAAATGTAAAAAAAAAACATACAAGTAACTTGATGAAGTCAACAATGACAAAGATAGAACTGACCCCATCATGTCCTTTGACTTTTTTTGAGCATCTAGAAGCATCAGCTTCACCCTTGAATTTTTTTCTAGGAGAAGAGCCCTTCTTTGTTAACTCGGGGAGTATTGAGTCTCCTTCCTTCCCAGTGATTGAATCCAATGCAGTTGACATCTGTTTCCTCTTGCGCTTGAGTACCCAGTTCCTGTCTAGCATCTTATCATGCAAAAAACATCCTTCGCTCATTTGAGCACTTCAATGCTGCATTCAAGACTAAAAAAGTTAGAAAAACTGTATGATAATCAGCTAAGGTTCAAATCACTGATGTAGATCTGATAAGGTCTAGTTACATCTGGTTGCTGAGTCCTTTTATTAATCCCATTATTAGCCAGGATATTTAATTAGCTTCTCTGTTTTTTTCTAAATTAGCTTCCTTTAGTTGTGTTAATTAGGAGTGTGCTCCACATTTTTAGTTATAGTAGTGGCCGTTTACCCCTGCCAGCTGTTGGAGGGGCATTGTTGATGAGCATTCTTGTGTTGCTTGCACGGTTACTAGGTTCTACACTAAATTGGTAATAGAGTAAGCCATGGCGAACAACAGAAACCACTCAGCGTATGGCAATGATTGTAGTTGGTGTTGAATTCTAAGTTTTCTATTTTAATTTTATTCTCTTCTATTCTCTTCTTATTATGTTATAGTTCCTTCCTTGTTGAGTTATTTTATCTTTGGTAGGCTGTATTTGTTGTAATTAAGCTTGCCCTAGCCGTTCCTTATTATATAAGAAGAAGAGTTGCAATTTTTCAATTAAGAAATATCAGAATACTTCATGGTATCACAGCTAGGGATCAAACCCTAAGTCTTCCTTTAGCCGTTGGAGCCTCTCCCAGCACCAGAATCGTTATTGTGAGCTTGTCTTAATCGTGATTGTGATCTCACCGGCTCCCAACTAGCAATCACAATTGTTTGTGCGCTTGTACCCCTCTGATCCCTGCGTTAGCTTTCGATACTTTCCTACAGACATCGGTTCTATTTTTTTCAAAGAACGACGGTTGAATCCCATCTGGTGCATGTTGACCTCATTTTTAGTGAGGTCTTAGTCTCCTACTCTTAGAACCTATAATCTAGCCTTAGGAGTTCCTGATTGACCATCCTAGCGAACTAGTAATGGAGCCCACCTCCCGTAGAACTTCAAGCCACTTCTTGACTCATTTTTGTGAAGAACTCGCATGAGTGGTTCGAAGCACTCAACTTTTAGTTGCAATGGCTAAGGACCAACATGTAGAGGGCCCGAAATTGAGTTCCTATAAGATCAAATAGCCTTAGCTGAACCCTTTTGTGACTCGATTATTCGTGAACGCCGCTTTTCACGCACTCACTGCATCACACACGATTTTGGCTTAAATTGACTCGTCCGCCGGCAAACTCGTCCGGACGACCTCGGATGACGAAACGGATAACGCCAACGC